CATTTTGGACAATCTTGTCCAGTGTTACACCTGTTTCATTCAGAAAGAAAATCACCTGTCTTCTTCACATCACCATCAAGGGATGTGATTTGGCTACTCATTTAATTTCTCAATTTTCCACAGCCTAAAGATGATAATATAAAAATAAAGTATGACTATAATTTAACTCCAAATATCAAATATAGAAATGGTCTCCAAGTCTGATAGAAAACTTAACATCCAAACGTGAATATTTTCTATTAAGAGAGTGGCTCTTCCACATAATACCAGCAAGCTAACATTCTATTAAAGTACCAAAATAGCCAGATGTTCCGTAACTTTGAGACTCCTAGAAGGTAAACTGATTGATTGCTTGGACCTCAGCTGTGGCTTGACCGCAAAACTCCAAGATTGCCCAAATCGGATCGATTCTGTAGTGTCATTAACAAAGTCAGACATAGGCAAAAAGCAAATTCTTGCAGTTCTATTAGTATGATTATGTATTTCAGATATTCCCAGCCCAGATTTTGTCACATTATACTTTCTCCCGTTATTCCAAATGCTATCACAAAATCCTCAAGTATAATTTAGTTTTAACATTAGTTCATATTTATATAATACAGTGCTGTATAATTGACTAAGCCCCTTCATCTACTAGCTCAACTGATCCTCACAAAAACCTCCTGTGGCCGGTAGAGCAGCTACGATTCTCATGTAATACCTGCTGGAACCAAACAGAGGGATTAAGTGTTCCACAGAGCCAGGAAATCAGATCTAAAATCCAGTCACTCTGGCAATATTTCATTTTGCGCGGCACTGGGTACTGTCTCTGCCTCAATTTCTTCAAATGTTTCAATAACTTCCTCAAGAGTAAGGAAAAGAAATTAGCCCCCAAACATCAGCTTTTTCAACACTTTCAGTTGAGGAGAACTTGTCTTAACGTTTGTTACCTTAAAATTTTTAATTCCCGGAAGGTGAATGCAGACACTGAGCAAGAAGAAACCAAATTTCTTAACAATTGCAAAAGCCACCTTTAACATCCTCAATGCCAACCTCTGCATTCTCTCTCTCTCTCTCCCCTCCCAGCCCCTCCCACTCCTCTGCCTTTTCCACAGCCCGATTCTATGAAGCCGTCTCAGGAGAGAGGCACTACACGTCCATACCTAGCACACGCAGGCTGTGGTGGTCTTCAGTGTCATCAACCTGGTAGACGATTTCAGAAAAATAACTTGCAATCTCTCTAACACATGCATTGGGAGAAACATGTCATTTCTCTCATCTTGAAAAAACAAAACCAAAACTTTCCTGGACTCTTCTGGGCTTCAAAAGAGAGTCTGACTAGACTCACTCTTCGATCCAGTTCCACCAATTCTCCCTCGAATCTGCTCCACTTTGGCTTTTGTCTCTGCCATTTCACTGAAACCACTTGCCAAGGTCACTAACTTCCTCCTCATTGCTGAATCTTCTGATCGATGTTCAGCTGGCGTCTTACCTGACCCATCAGCAGCATCTGACGACGTGGGTTACTACGGCTTCCCTTAGTGTCTAGAGAACCACGATTTATACCTTCCTATCCGTTCCTCAATCTGCCTTGCTTACTCCATGGGACCATGAGAGGCCCCAGACCACTCTTCTCACTCCCTTGGTGGCCTCAATCTTTCTTGTGATTTTGAACAACAGTTCAATGCTCATTTTTTAAATTTTAAATTAAAGCCTTTAAATTTGCCTTTTTAATCCTGACCTCCCACTGAAGTCCAGATTCTACCTACATGAGCTTTCTGCTTAGATGTCTAAAGAGGAATCTCAAATTTAATGTGCTTAAAACTGCGCTCCTAGTACTGCTTCCAATCAGTTCCTCCACAATCCCCCCCAAATCTCAGCAAAGGCACCTCTACTTTCAGTTGTTCAAGCTGAAAACTGTGGAGTCTTCCCTGACACCTCTTTTTGTCTCTCATCCCATATCTAACTTCACAACAACATATGACTAGAATTCCATCACTTCTCATCACATCCCTTGCTTATGGTCTCAGGCACCTCGGTTTCTCAGCTGGGTCACTGCAATAGCTTCATTGGGTCTCTCTGCTTCTACCCTTGCAAACACCCCCACCCCAAGCCCAGAGTATTCAAAATCACATTAGCTTCAGTAGAAAGATCATGTTCCTTTTCTCCTTAAAATCTACCAGTTCCTTTTCATCTCACTGGAAGCCAAAACCCACACAATAATCACTGTTCACACTGTTACCAGAAAGGGGGTCCCATCCAGACCCCAAGAGAGGGTTCTTGGATCTCACGCAAGAAAGAATTTGAGGCAAGTCCATAAATTGAAAGTAAGTTCATTTTGAAAGCAAAAGAATAAAAGAATGGCTACTCTATCGACAGAGCAGCCGTGAGGGCTGCTGGTTGCCCTCCCCGCTTTTTGTTTCGAGGCGAGGTTTCGCTCTTGTTGCCCATGATGGAGTGCAGTGGCGCGATCTCTGCTCACCGCAACCTCTGCCTCCTGGGTTCAAGTGATTCTTCTGCCTCAGCCTCCCAAGTAGCTGGGATTACAGGCGGGTGACACTACACCTGGCTAGATTTTTGTATTTTTAGTAGAGACAGGGTTTCACCATGTTGGCCAGGCTGGTCTCAAGCTCCTGACCTAAGGTGAGCCACCTGCCTCGGCCTCCAAAAGTGCTGGGATTATAGGCGTCAGCCACCACGCCCGGCCTGGTTGCCCATGTTTATGGTTATTTCTTGATTGTATGATAAACAAGGGGTGGATTATTTATGCCTCCCCTTTTTAGACCATATGGGGTACCTTCCTGACGTTGTCATGGCATTTGTAAACTGTCGTGGAGCTGGTGGGAGTGTGGCAGTAAGGATGACCAGAGGTCACGCTCGTCCCCATCTTGGTTTGGGTGGGTTTTGAGCGGCCACTTCACTGCAGCCTGTTTTATCAGCAAGGTCTTTATGAGCTGTATCTTGTGCTGACCTCCTGTCTCATCCTGTGACTTAGAATGCCTAACTGTCTGGGAATGCAGCCCAGGAGGTCTCAGCCTTATTTTATCCAGCCCCTATTCAAGATGGAGTTGCTCTGGTTTAAATGCCTCTGACAACATGACATGACCATCCATATCCTCTCATCTGCCTCTTTTCCCTTTACTCACTCCACTCCATTCACCAGCCTCCTTCTACTTTCAAACAAGCCAAGCATGCTTCTGCCTCAAGGTCTTTACATTTACTATCCTCTCTGCCTACAATACTTCCCCCAAACACCAACAGAGCCCTTTCCAACAACTTATTCACAACTTCTCACTGAGGCTTTCCCCGAACATCTCTTTACCAGTGAACTCTTCAGCCCTTACCCTTACCTGCCTTACGTTCCTCCAAAGCACTGACTGCCCTCTCATACGCTACATATTGTGCTTTTATTTGTTCTTAGTCCGTGTCTTCCTGCTAGAATGTTACTTCCATGAAGGCAGAGTTTCATTCGTTAACTACTATATCATCAACACCTAGAATACTGTCTGACACATGGTAATAAATATCTGATGAATCAAAGAATCATGTAACAATACAAATGTGTATGAACTGATTCATATGAAGACTAGAAAGTTCAAGAACCATAGAATGCTAGGTACTGGATGACTAAATGTTGACTGCATATGATGACATAGATATGTTAAGCTACAATTTTAAATTTTCTAGCAGTCCCATAAAAAAAGTAAAAGAAAACAAATATTAATTGTAATAACATGTTTTAATTCAATATATCCAAAATATTATCATTTCAACATGTGAGTCATAGATAACTTACTAATATTTTAGTCCTTCATATTAAGTTTTTGAAATATGATGCGTATTTTCTGCAGAGAACATTGCCCTTAGTACTACTCATATTTCAAACGTCCAATAGCTACATGGGACCAGTTGCTACCATATTGGACAGCACAGATTTTGACCAAAATTAAATAATCCCACTGCAGTGGAGAATATCTTGCAGATTTATTCATTATTTTTAGTTTAAGAATACCAAACAAGGCCCTGGTACAACCTCATGGTTTACTAGTTTTGTTAAAACAGTTTCAAAGGATGTCATACAAGGAGTAATAGCTCGTATTCTGAGAAATCATTTGTTTTCAAGATAACTGAACTCCTAAAACACTTTAAACTTCATTCAGGTGTTTTGATTAGGAAGAATGAAAGCCATTCTTCCCTAGTCTGTTTGAGAAACCAAGTTAAATCCAGAGAGATTTTGTGATCTTATCTAAATTAGAATCAGGAAAATCATTATTTTCAAATAGAAAAACCTATTAAGATTCTATTTCCACTAAACCAGTATTTATTTCAAATCAACCAAAATGCATCCTGCATTAAAAGACAATTTTATATATAGTTGCATGTAAAAAATGTATTAACAGTTGCTTTACCAATTTTTTTTTTTGCATTTTATAATGTAAAAGTGAAATAAAGCACTAAGGAGAACGCTTTGAGATTTTTGTTTGTTTTGAAACACAGCCTCTGTCACCCAGGCTATAGTGCAGAGGCACAGTCTCCACTCACTGCAACCTCCACCTCCCAGATTCAAGCGATTCTCCTGCCTCAGCCTCCCAAGTAGCTGGGATTACAGGCATCCGCCACTATGCCAGGTAATTTTTATATTTTTAGTGGAGATGAGGTTTTACCATGTTGGCCAGACTGCTCTTAAACTCCTGACCTCAGGTGATTCACCCGCCTCAGCCTCCCAAAGTCCTGGGATTACAGGCATGAGCCACCGTGCCTGGCCTAAATTTTTAACATAGGTATTTAAGTCTTATATTTCTTAAATGCTATGTATGAAGAATGTCTTCGTTAACTCTTTTCTATCATCAGGGGATGAATTTCTTCCAGAATCCCATTATTTACAAATATTCATTTATTAAAATTATCACAATTGCATTATTCAACAACAAAATTTAAAGAACCCAATTAAAGTTCATAGTATTTTAAAACTTTAAACTTTTTTTTAAAAAGCAGCAAGACAAACAGAAGAATCTACTTACTCAGCTGTTATGGGGTGTTATCAATCATCTCTCATAAACTGGCAGGTCTGAGCTCAGATCAGCAAGGCAGAGAAACTCCAGATGGCACCTTATCTCAACTCTTCTAACTCGTAAAAGCATTAATAAAATGCCTGTATAAGAAAGAAGCCTGGAGTTACAACCAAGACAGAACTTTCTCGAGTGGATTGTCTAGATGGGAAACAAACCTGTTTCCTCTTTTCTTTCCTTAAATGAGGGCTTAGAACAAGTTAATTCATGGCCTTGGAGTAGCAGGTGGCCTGATACAGCAATACTTGGTATTACAACTGCTTTTCTAAGAACTCTCTGGGGAGAAGCCTAAATTGGTGCAATAAAATACTCACAAGTGCTAGAACCTGCTTTTTTTTTTTTTTTTTTGAGCTGGAGTCTGGCTAATTTTTGTATTTTTAGTAGAGACAGGGTGCAGCGGTGTGATCTCGGCTCACTGCAATCTCCACCTCCCAGGTTCTGGCGATTCTCCTGACTCAGCCTCCCAAGTAGCTGGGATTACAGGCACCTGCTACCACGCCCGGCCTATTTTTGTATTTTTAGTAGAGATGGGGTTTGACCGTGTTGGCCAGGCTGGTCTCAAACTCCTGACATCAGGTGATCTGCCCACTTCAACCTCCCAAAGTGCTGGGATTACAGGTGTGGGCCACTATGCCCGGCCAGAACTTCCTCACTGTTTTGCCAGTGTAATCCTTCAAGTGGTAAAAATCCGTTCTCTCTAACCATATAATATATTGTCTAAATATACTTGAGACAATATATTTTTAAATATATATTTTAGACAGTATACACTATTGAAAGTGAAAAGGGAAACTTCTGAAATATTTGTTGACCAATAAACTGGTTTTATTATATTGGTTTTATTCTAATAAAATGAAAATAATGTACACCCACTACTTCTAAAGGTTTCTTTGTATCATATGAACAGCAGCAGATAAATCTTGGTACACATTCATGTACTGTAATAGGCTTTTTTCTTTTTGAAACAGAGTCTTGCTCTGTCACCACACTAGAGTGTAGTGGCTCAATCTTGGCTCATTGCAACCTCTGCCTACTAGGTTCAAGCAATTCTCCTGCCTCAGCCTCCCAAGTAGCTGGGACTACAGGCGTGCGCCACCACGCCGGCTAATTTTTGTATTTTTAGTAGAGATGGGGTTTCACCATGTTGGCTAGGACGGTCTCGATCTCTTGACCTTGTGATCCGCCCACCTCAACCTCCCAAAGTGCTAGGATTACGGGCGAGAACCACCACGCCTAGCCTACTTTTTTTCATTTATTAGTTTTGAAACAGTGTCTGTCTCTGTTGGCCAGGCTGGAGTGCAGTGGCGAGTACTCGGTTCACTGCAGCCTCTGCCTCCCGGACTAAAGTAATCCTACCAGCTTAGCCTCTCAAGCAGCTCGGACTACAGGTGCACGTCACCACACCTGGCTAATTCTTTGTATTTTTGGTAGAGACAGGGTTTCACCATGTTGCCTAGGCTGGCCTCAAACTCCTGAGCTCAAGCAATCTGCCCACCTCAGCTTCCTAAAGTGCTAGGATTATAGGCGTGAGCTACTGCACCTGGCCATAATGAGTTTTCTTAATAGATTCTGCCTCTTGATATTGATTCATTGGTATTTTTTCTAGAAAAAAAAATTGAATATGGTCTCATTATTTTTAATTTTTCACAGGGTTGCCACAATCTTTTTCAGTTTCATTTTATGTCAAATAATCTGAAATCACTGACACCTTCAGCTGATTATTCTCGATTCACATTATTTTTAACAGGAAAATTCTGTCTTTATGGAAGAAACCTGGTAAGTGCAAAGCAAATTCTGCTAAATAGGGGATATTCTCACTCCTGTTTCTATACCAAAATTATACATATTTCAGACTAAATATTTTCATAGGTATTATCTTTCTGCCTAAATTGGTGGGTTTTCTTCCCCACTTTTGCCCCTCTGATCCATTTCACCAGGACACACTTCATCATGGGTCATATTTTTTTCCCCAGTTCAAATCTCACCATGTCACTTCCCAACTAAAACAGTTTTCAACGTTTCCCATTGCTCTTAGATATGATGTATCTCATAAGCCTTAATATGGAGACTTCCAAAGCCCTGCATGACCACCTTCCTTCCCACCTCTCAGGCCACCCTTGCCCCTCTCAAATCCCCAAAAGCACCAGATTCTCTCTCGCCTGTCCCAGGGCCTTTGCAAGGTCTGTTCCCTTTGCTGGGATGCTCTTCTCTTTGGCCATGGTCATCTTTCACATCTGAGAAGCCTTTGTATGCTTCTTATCTAAGTTACACCATGCTACTCTTTCTCTCTTCCTCTCAAAAGTACGCTGTACCCTTCCTGCAAAGCACTCATCCAAACCTGTGTTTGTGTGTTTTTAGAAAGCCTGTCTCCACCAGGCTGTAACAACTTCATGAGGGTGTAGAGCTCGTGCCCGTGCTTCTTTGATTCATCCCTTTACCACCACTGTTCCCAGCACCTAGCTCGGTCCTTGGCACCTTGTGAGCCTGCAATAAATATTTGTTAAATGAATGAATAAAAGACTGAGGTGGGGGCAGGTGACAAGGACAATCTAGTTGTTTTGGTCCATTGTTATCTATGATCCTAAATCCAACTCCATCATTAGCTTTTCCCTCTATGCAGAATGATTCCCATCACTGTAGGTCTATGCTGGAAGGTAAGGGAATGGGAATGGGAATTGGTGGGGGAGTGAAGAGCAGGGAAGGGTGGAAAGGAGGGGGGAAGGGAGAGAGGGAGGGAGGATGGAAAGCAGGGAGGCAGGGAGGGAAAGGAAGGGAGGGAGGGGAGGGGAAGAAGGCTTTCTTGCCTACTGGCCTTTCTCTTGACCCCACAGCCCCATGAATCAACTTCCCCATTTCTCTAATCCAATTTTATAAGAATACTCAAAAAAGCTGACTCCAACTGCTGTCTCCAATTCTTTCTTCCATTCCCATCAGGCTTTGTCTCCACTGCTCCCCTCAAACTGCTATTATTAAAGCCAACAATGTCTTCGACTGTGAAATACTCGAAAGCCAGGTATAGGGAGAGATGCTTTAAAGGAATTATCTCATTCCTTATTTCTTTTTAAAATTTTTTTAAACTAAAAATTTAAAAAGATGAAATGCTTCACAAATTTGCATGTCATCTTTGCCCAGGGGCCATACTAATCCTTTCGGTATCATTCCAATTTTAGCATATGTGCTGCCAAAGCAAGCGTTATTTATTTTTAGACAGGGTCTCACGCTATCATCCAGGCTGGAGTGCAGTGGGGCAATCATGGCTCACTGCAGTCTCCAACTCCTGGGCTCAAGTGATCCTCCCACTTCAGCCTCCTGAATTGCTGAGACCACAGGCACATGGCACCACATCCAGCTAGTTTTGTGTGTTTATTTTTGTTTTTTGAGATGGGGTCTCACTTTCTTGCCTAGGTTGGCCCTCCACTTAAACAGTTCCTAGGGTGGGCATGGTGGCTTACGCCTGTAATGCCAGCACTTTGGGAGATCAAGGCAGGAGGATTGCTTGAGTCCAAGAGTTCAACACCAACCTAGGCAACATAGCAAGACTCCTTCTCTACAAAAAATAAAAAGTTAGCTGGGTGTGGTGGTGCATGCCTATGGTCCTAGCTACTTGGAAGGCTGAGATGGGAGGATTGCTCGAGTCTAGGATGTCAAGGTTGCAGAGCTGTGATCACACCACTGCCCTCCAGCTTGGGCAACAGAGCTAGACCCTGTCCTCAATTTTTTTTTTTTTTCAATAAATAAAACAGTTCATCACCACCACCTGATGAGGGAGGTACCACTGTTATTCTCAGAGAGAGGTTAACTGAATTCATTCAAGATTACTTGAGCAAAAAAGCAGCAGAAACCATTTTCACTCAATCTAACGTTCAATGTTAGACCTGCCAGTAGCACAGACATAGCTAACCGCTCTCCTCTTTCTTTAAGCACTTTCTGTGCTTGGTTTCCAGGACACCACAACCTCCCGACTCTCCTCCTCCTTCATTGGCCATTCCTTAAACTTCTTCTCATTATCCAACCCCTTAATGCCGGAGGGAACCAGGACTCCGAGTTCTCAAACTTGCCTATCTACACTCTCTCTCCCTGGTCAACTCAGTGGGTCTCATCACCTTAACCAAGAGCCTGAACCTCTTCCCTGAACTCAAGGCTCATATTTTCAGCCACCTCGACATCTCCTCTTGGATGTCCAACAGACACTCCCCTCTTAACGTCACGCCATGCCAAACTCCTGATGTTCCCCTACTGCGCCCGGCCCGAAGCTCCTACAGGCTTGCCCAGCTCAGAAAATAACTCCATCCTCCAAGTCATCTTGTTCTTTTTTCTTTCCCTCCCACTCTCTACCCAATTCATCAGCAAATCCTGTTGGCTCGATCTTAAAGCTACATCTGAATTCTAACTAATTCTAACTACTTCTACTTCTCCCTGCTCCCATCACTGCCATCCGAGTCTCCCTCATCTCCAGCTGGATGACCACAATAGCCTGGGAGCTGATGCTTCTCCCTTGCCTTACTTGTCTGCTGGGAACAGAAAATGTACCACTATGACCACACTGAAGTCTTTCAGTTGAGGCTGTCATAGTAGAGATGAATTCTTCGTTATATTTGTCCCTCAAATGTTTCGGGAAAAAGTTGTTTCTTCCATGTTACATTAGTTCTGAAGATTTCAATTGCTTTCTTTTATGAAAACCTGTATTAACAAACGCCAAATATTCTATTGTTACTCTTGACTCTGAAATGAATTAGATTTCTGTGTGGGCAGAAGTATTAGCCCAGCTCTTAAAGTTCCATAGAAAATGTTGTTTGTTTTCTTCAAAGCTTAAAACCTTCCCATTAATCATCAAAATAAGATATCTCCACTACAGGCATTTGTTACTTGAAGATGAACAGAATAGAATCAGTACCTATACAAAACCCACACTGACAGGATCTCATATTTTCGAGCAAATGAAATCTGATGATCTTGTTAACAATCATGGTATTTTCTAAACCCCCTGCCTCCTTTTCTTTCCTTTATTTATTTAATTATTTATTTATTTTTTGCTTAGTCAGAGTCTTGCTCTGCCACCCAAACTGGAATGCAGTTGTACCCACATTGCTCACTACAGCCTCCAACTCCTGCACTTAAATGACCCTACTGGCTCAAGCTCCTGAGTAGCTAGGACTACAGGCACACACCATCACACCCAGCTTTTTTTATTGGTGGCGGGGATGGGGAGAGATGGGGTCTCGCTTTGTTGCCCAGGCTGGTCTTAAACTTCTGGCTTCAAGCCATCTTCCAGTCTCAGCCTCCCAAAATACTGGGACCACAGGTATGAGCCACTGCACCAGGCCTCAACTCTTTACTACAGCCCCTGAAAAGCAGAGGGCCTGGATTTGGTGCCTCTAAAACTCCTTTCTGCTGGCTTAACTCCAATGCTCAGCACATGCACTTCCCAAGTCGTCGTTTTCTTTGATCTCCTTGGACTCTCTGCCTTCTAGAGAATATAATCCACATGAACTGCGCTCCTGGATCTTTTACATAACTGTGGTTTCTCACAAGGTTCTTTAAACAAAGGTCCACGTGATAGATTTCTGCTCAAGTTTAGTTCCAGGAAATGTTTGGTTTCTGCAGATGTTTACATGTTTCCGGCTGTCAGCACATGAAAACAATGTAATTCTGTTTCTTTTCTTCACTTTAGCAACTAGAAAGCATAAAATCAAATATATTGTTCAAATCTGCTCAACGTTGATATATGGAAATACTTAATCCTTAAACATTTTAAGTGAGGTTGGTTCTATTTTTTTATTGTTATTTTGCCTTTTAGCCTGAATGTGGTAAGTGGTTGCAGAAACATGACAAGCTGTAAAATGTAAAAATATACAAGACAAATAAAATAGAAAAGAGGCTGAGTACAGTGGCTCAGTGCCTGTAATCCCAGCACTTTGAGCAGCTGAGGTAGGAGGACTGCTTGAGCCCAGGAGTTCAAGACCAGCCTGGGCAACAGAGACAGACCCTGTTTCTACAAAAAAAAAAAAAAAAAAAAAAGCCAGGTGTGGTGATGTGTGCCTGTAGTCCTAGCCAAATGGGAGGCTGAGGCCGGGGGGGGGTTACTGTGAGCTGTGATTACATCACTATCCTCTGGTAGTTACAGTTCAGAGTGAGACTCCATCTCTAACCGCAAAACAAAAAAATGGAAAATGGGAAAATACAGTGGTGGTTTTCCAACGAGAAGGCATGAGTACCCAGAATTAGATTCTTTGTCATCTAAAAAAAAAAAAAAAACTATTCACAAGCAAAGAAAAGAGTCCTCCACCCTCTTACTTAAAAGCTATTCACTAGGTTGGAGTAAAATAATCAAGTAAAATAATCAGGTATCTTTTTTGTGAAATTTCCCTAGGAAGACTTCAAAGTTTGAAATTTTTTATAATCAACTTCAGTAAGACTTCTTTAAACATCATTTTGAAAATTAAAACCATTTTAGAAAAGCAAGCTAAACTGGTTGTATGACAGGTGTACATTGTAAGTCATTTCATTTGGTGAGCAGTCCAGATTACACACGTGTGCACTGTAATGATGAGGTAAGGACTGACTGTTTTTGGCTCCCATACCCCTTCTCACCACTGAGGTTCAGTAATAAACGGCTCCTAATAAGTAACTAAAGTATCAATCAAAACCTTAAAGGTATTCACTCATTATACTGTATTTACATGTATCCTTAAAATGCAAAAATCGTAAAATTACATTTATTACTACAAAAATCCAGAAAACCAGAGCCTTCAAAAAGTACATGAAGCATACAAATATGTAAGCCAAATGGTTACTTAAAGTGAGCCATAAACTTGGCCCTACGCTCTCTATTAGACAAAGCAAAAAGGGAAAATTGATCAATTACAAACTGCACATGATCAGAGGTGAATTTCAGGAGAAATATAACTTCTCCTGGTATTCAAATCTAAGAAATACTTCTCTGTAGATCATTCTATATGTAATACACTGGGGTCTTCAATACTGTCCCTGAAAGATATGCTGATTCTTATTGCATATAGTGTACATAGTAAAAACATAAAGCTCTCTGATAATGTGGATAAATTTTAAAAAATAAAGCCTAGAAAGTCTCTTCAATAGAATTTTCTGTAATGAAGATGCTCCATATCTACACTGTCAAATACAGTAGCCATTAGCCACATATGGCTAGTGAGCACTTGAATTATGGCTGGTATGACTAAGAAACTGAATCTTAATTATATTTCATTTTAATAGCCATATTACAACAACAAATATCTACCCACTGGACAGTATAGGTCTAAAACATTAGTTATCAAACGTTTTTAAGTAGCAGAACCATTTTGGGGTTGTCAAACATATACAGAATCTATCATGTTAAAAAAGGTGGTATAGTATATATGCTTCTAAGTTCTAGCTAAAATATTTATTTATAGACAATGAAAATATGAGTATTCCAATAAATATTAGAAATCGAGGATTTTAAGTGAGAGTTATAAACTTAGATCAGCCCCACGAAACACTTTTATGTCTGTATTTTGTTTGAATGCACTGAGCAATGCTCATGTGGGACTTCTAACTATATATTCTGAGCTACCCAGTTACCAAGGCCACCCTCAGCAGCCATTTACTCAGGAAGCATAGGAAGAAAACACAGCATGCCAGCAGAGCAGTTTCTGGTGTTTCTCTTCGTGGAAGGAGTCCCCACAGGAGTTCACATGGCCATCCAGGAGCTATTCCCTCTGGCATCCAGGTGACAGCTCAGGTGTAAGGAAATGAAAATCACAAGGGTGGGCCAGGAGCAGTAGCTCACACCTGTAATGCCAGCACTTTGGGAGGCCGAAGTGAGCCGATCACTTGAGGTCAGGAGTTCGAGACTAGCCTGGACAACACAGTGAAACCCTGTCTCTACTAAAAATACAATAAGTAGCCGGGCATCGTGGTGGGTGCCTGTAATCCCAGCTACCCGGGAGGCTGAGGCAGGAGAATCACTTGAACTCAGGAAGGAGAGGTTGCAGTGAGCTGAGACTGTACCACTGCTCTCCAGCCTGTTACCATTGTAACAGCAAGACNAAAGAGACAGACAGAGGAAAGAAAGGAAAAGAAAGAAAGAAAGAAAGAAGGAAAAAGAAAAGAAAAGAAAAGAAAAGAAAAAGAAAAAGAAAAAGAAAAAGAAAAAGAAAAAGAAAAAGAAAAAGAAAAAGAAAAAGAAAA